TTTCTCACCGAAACATCTCTATCCTGGTCAATGTGTGGGATTATTTAAGGGGGCTGTTTCTGAAAGTCAAATTACAGCGGCAAGGTTAGGGAGAGGTGGGGGAGATAAGAGGTCAACCGAAAGACTTGTGTGCATGCATATAAGCATAATCAATCAACACAAAACTCTGGGGGGTGAGGGCATGTATAGGAGTGGGAGGGGGCGGGCAACGGTAAGATATGTACACATATAATACCTTAATAAAAATGAAAAGAGAAAAAAATTAAAAATAAAGGGGCTGTTTCTGATTGATGGTTGGAAATCAGCACATTCCATTCTTGATTCAGATCAGCCACACACAGCCAGCAGCTGCTCGCAGGGGAGCAGGCACAGGTGTCCTCACTCTAGGACTCTGCCTCCTCCCAGAGAGCACACCACCTGTTTCAGGTTTCCAGTTGTCTTTCCATCCAAAATTCACACAACGTGTACTACTGCCACCTTTAAAAAGAAGTGGCATGCCAAAACCGGTTTGGCTCAGTGGATAGAGCGTCGGCCTATGGACCGAAGGGTCCCGGGTTCGATTCCGGTTAAGGGCATGTACCTTGGTTGCAGGCACATCCCCGGTGGGGGGTGTGGAGGCAGCTGGTCCATGATTCTCTCTCATCGATGTTTCTGGCTCTCTATCTTTCTCCCTTCCTCTCTATGAAAAATCAATAAAATATATTATTTTTTTAAAAAGAAGTAGCATGTTCCTTTCAGCCAAAACACCTTTGATTTCATTATCCCTCTCTTCCTAAGAGCCGTTTTGCTGCATTCAGGGCTGTCAGCCAAGCCCCCGGGGCGGTAGCAGAGGCAGTGAGCACCTGCGTGAGCCAGAGTGCTCAGGCACTCCCACGGCACCATGCAGGACAGAAGGGATTGCTCTGTACAACTGCACACAGTTCAGCTGTGTGGACCTGACCTATCATGTAATAACATCCTGTACGTACACGTGTAATGTGCCTGCAGACACCTTATCTCATGGAGCTCCTTGACTTTAAATTCTCATGTCAGAAGTGCCTCCTGTTCCCAGACATGTCAGCAAGGCTCTTCCACTCACAGGAACTTCCCTATCTCTAGCTTTTCCGCTGCCCCCTCATCAAATAAAGAGGTCCCTGAGCACACGGCTCCTCTAAGATCAGTGCTGTATCTTAAAAAACAGGCCCAGGACAAAGAAGAAAGGGGGAAAGGGTCCTCTTTGATCTACTTAATCTAGTTAAAAACAAACAGAAAAATCAAAGACAAGAATTTCCACTTTGAGCAATAGGCATCTATTATAGATGCTCTAGAACCTTCACACTGCAAATAATTCCGTTCTCAAATTAATTTCCATGCCAGCACGGACTTGGAGGAGAGAAGGGACATCTTAAAGGCTCCCAAACCAGGGAAACCCTGAGGAGTTGAAACTAGTCAGAAGAACTCAAAGTGGGGCTGCCTCGGAGAACCTGCCAGTGTCAGAGCTGAGTGCTTCTGGCACCACAGCACAGATGAACTCAATTCCTACCCTGCAAGGATACACAAGTGTCCCCACCTTGGCCCTCTGGCTCTTGTCATAGCAAATGTCACCAGGAGTCCCACAGTTTAACATTAACCCAATGTGAGCTCCCAAAGGGCCCCAGCCACAAAAGGAATCAGGATCAGGGCCAGGGAGGGATGCAAGAGGTTGGCCAGCCAGGGAGAGAGGGTGGGATGGCTCCAGGGCATGTTTGGCCCATTTCACTCAGTCCCACCCAACTGACCAGAATCCAGCAGCAAGCTAACCTACCAGTCAGAGAGTCTTCCCCCTGGTGGTCAGTGCACATCATAGCAAGAGAATGAGCAACCTTAGCAGCATACCATTAGCATATTACACTTAGATTGATTGAACGGACAACAGGACAACTGGAAACTTAGCATATTAGGCTTTTATTATATAGGATTAAATATGCATTATTTTAGTAGAACCACTTTCTTTTCGTTGGACTGTAGCTTTCCCAATATGTAAATTGTGTTACTAAAAAAACAGGATATGAAAAGATACTAAACCAAATGGTCATTACGTGAATACAAATTACAATCACAGATTTCATCTAGATTGGCAGAGATTAAGAAATTGCCCAGGGTGTGGTGGAAATACAGGACCATCTGTGAAAACATCATCAGTTCATGCACCTTCTATGACTTAGCAAGTCCATCCCTGGGTTCTTGCCCTCAAGAGACCAGCAGAGGAAGTTTGCTGGAGCATCTTCCACACACCAGAACTGGAATACAATTCAGCGTCCACCCACAGGAGAATGGGTAGATGTATCATCCTGTTATAGTCACACAGAAGAGTATATATATGATGCATTTTCATAAGCAATGTATTTGTATAAATAGCAGGTCCTCTAATAGCATCCTTCTATTCAATGTTGCTTAAAGTCACAAAACCCATCAAGGACACGAGGTGAGGACTTCCTATACAATGTTCATGTGCAGCAAACAGAACATGAAAGGAGAATGACAAACATGACATTGAGGTGGTAGACCCCTCCGGTGTGGAATCAAGGGGATAGGATGAGATGGTGAGGAGCCCATTGGCAGCTGTAGCAATATTGGAAATGTGCTAGGTTTTAGATTGGCTGATAGCTAAAAGCTGTTAGATGTCACTGCTGGGGCAAAAATGAATTGGCAACCCTGGTCTGTGCTCCTCTTCCATCACTTATTTCATAAATTTGCCCCACTCCCCTCCCAGATAAGCCCCACTCTTGCCTGCACTCAGTCCTAGCCTGGACCTCCCATTACCCTGGCTCCCCACTGGAAAACCAGCCCTAACTTGAACTCTCCACAGCACCAGACACACCGACCACTCCTGCTCACTGCCCACATCTCTGCAGCTCCTTTCCAACATGCTCCACTCATGTGTGGGGCAAAAGCTCCACTTTTGCTCGCTGTGTGGGGCAAAAGTAGGTTTACAGTTGTGAGTACACAAAACTTTATTCTGGTATTATTTTATTAATTATTATATCATTTTCCATATGAACAACTGTAAACGCATTTTTGCCCCATCCTGTATATTAGGATGGGGAAGAGGCCATTGTCCCTCATGGCAGCAACGTGAAAATCGTGTTGGTGTTTTTTAAGGAGCTTTAATAGGAAATATATGTTTCTGTGTTAATTCTAGAAAAGCAAATGCTTCTTGGATAATCTGGGAAAGAAAAATCAGCAACAGCTGCTGCTGGGGTGGCTTCTTTCAACACCTGGCCACACCTGCAGACCTGACCTTTGGAGAAGCTTCTAGAGTAAACTCAAAGGCTAACAGGGGCCAAATAAACGAGGCCCGGGGCCTGCAGGCTGCAAGTTTGACATGCTTGCTCTAGAGAAAACTCTGGGGGTCCAGAGATGGGGCCAGGACACAGGTGGGGAGTAAAGGGTGTAGAGGTGAAGACTTTTATAACATTCAGAGACAATGAGTGCTAACTACAAGTCGCAGGCCTGCTCTTATTTCTACTTTCATTTCTGTATTTTTGTTCTTCTAGGGATTTATCTATTTCATCTAACTTATCTAACTTGGTGTTCATGTTATTCCCTTGGAATCCTTTGTATTTCTGTGCAGTTGGCAGTGCTATTTTCTCTTTCATTCGCGACCTTAGTAATTCCTTCCCCTCTCCTCTCTGTCAGCCCAGCTAGATTTGTCCATTTTTTTTTTAAAGATTTCTACTGTTTTTATATTTCCTTTATTCCTGCTCTAATAATTATTTCTTGCCTTTTTGCTTGGGGTTTCATTTGCTCTTCTTTTTCTGATTTCTTATGATCAAAAGCTAGGTTCTTGATATATTTCTTCTTTAAACTCAGACATTTTAGCCATACATTCTAAGTGTTGCAGCACCCAATTTTTGGTCTATTTGTTCTTTTCGCTCACATTTTCTTACTGCTTGTGTGACTTCTTCTTTGATACAGTGGTTCATCAGTATTGTTGAATTTCCAGCTCACTGTGAGTTTTCCACATTGATATATAATTTAACTTTATGGTAGACACAAGCTCGGTGTGGCTCCTCCAAACTCTTGAGAACTGTTTTTTGTCCTGCCTGAGGCCAGGGGACGCGCCAGTCACGCTGCGGGTACCGGGAGTCCAGCCCGCACGTCCTCGGGCTGGGGACCCAACCTCTGAGGCCCGGAGGACAGGTGCTTCAGGAACAGCAGGTGTGTAGTCACCGCGCCCTGAGGAATGCCCTTCAAGGTCACCACGACGACTTCCCTTAACTCTCCGTACTAGGAACCCGCTACGAAGCCGAGGCCTCTCCGACAACTCCTTACATACACAAGCCCTCTGACCCTGACCCTGCCCTAGCCCGGACCTGGCCAACGGGACTGCGGCTCAGTGGCCCACGTTGCATGCCGGCACTTGTAGTTCTCAAGACGCTCGCCTTAGCGCGGGAGGGGACAGGACAGCAGTCCGCGTGGGATGCCGGGACTTGTAGTTTCATAGGACGTCCGCCTTAGCGCGAACGTTTGGACGGCGTCCCGCGTTGCGTGCCGGAACTCGCAACGCCTGATGGGGATCCGCGGTAAGGCAGAGCGTGGTGCATGCTGGGATTCGCGGTTTAAAGATCCTCAAGTGCCTAAAGGGACCTGTGGGACAGCGGCGCGCGCTGCATGCTGGGACCGGTGTTTACAGAGTAAACCGGGCGTAGCAGCCCTGTTCCCGCCGCGCCCAGCTCCACGGCTTTGGTCCCGGACACCTCGGCACCTGTTGCTGGTGCAGCGCCTCTCGGGCCCCGCGTGGGCTAGTGTTTACACGCGGGCCCCCTGGCGCACGCACGTGGCGTAGTGTGACGCCACACGCTGTCCCGGAAGTCGGCGCGGACCTGGGCGGCGGGTGGAAGCCGGTGCAAGAGTGGGAATCGCAGCGCAGCCACCGCCGCCGCCAGGGCCAGGGTCGCCCGCCCGCCCGCCGGTCCGCGATGGGCGCCGGGCCCTGAGCGTCCTCCCGCCGCATCTCCGCAGCGAACTTGTTGGCCGCGATGGAGGCTCCTCCCGCCGACCGCGTTCCCGCCGAAGGCACCCCGCCGGCGACCGTGGCGGAGGTGCGCTGCCCGGGTCCCGGTCCGCTACGCCTGCTCGAGTGGAGGGTGGCGGCGGGCGAAACCGTGCGCATCGGCTCGGTGTTGGCTGTGTTCGAGGCCGCCGCCGCCTCCGCGCCGCCCGCCGGGCTCCCCCCTGTCCGCGCCGGCTCCGGGGGCTGCGTGCGCGCCGAGCGCAGGCTGAGGTCGGAGCGCGCCGGCGTGGTGCGGGAGCTGTGCGCCCAGCCGGGCCAGGTGGTGGCTCCCGGGTGAGTGAGGCGGGATGAGAGCGAGTGTCTCGGGTTGGGAGAGGGGTCAGGGCCGGAGCCGGGCACTAGACAGGAGAGGGTTTAGGGGGCTGAACTTGGGGAGAACTTTGCAGGGTAAGCCACTATGTGTGGTTTTTCTTTAGAACTCGGTTGTGTTCCCTCTTCTGCAATAGGTGCCTGTCCCTAAGACGCTCAATTTGTAAGTTAGGAAAACTGGGGGCGACAGTGAGTATGGAACGAATCAGCGTGCTCCACGCTTGTCATCGCGCTATAAACTCCTGGGGATGTGCACTTCAGATCCTCATAAACTTTGCTGAACGCGGTTGTAAAACCTGGTGCGGTCCTGCATCATAGTTGGGGAAGGAGGTGCAGCTGGGCGCCCTCCCAGGATTGGCTCAGCTGCGGGTCCTTAGTTTTAACCTTCTTAGGGGACTGGTTTCCTCTGTTGAGGTGCGTAAACCTGTCTGTGCGTAGTTTGTGTGGTCTTGAGATCAGGTTGAAGTGTGCACATGACTCTTGATGGTTTTCATTGTCAAGAACAGAAAGGGGGCAGGTGAACATTCCTGCCTCCTGCTGGAGTGGATAGCTTCCCTCTGGGACCACAGTGTAGCCCTCCCTCTCCCGCCTCCTCCCCTGTCCCCCAGTCAGCTTTCTATCCACTCCTGCCTTCCTCTGGTGGTGCTGCTCACTCTGGTCTCTTTCCCTCCCCCTGGGGCTGCACTGACCCTCAGCTTCTGGTCTGTGCCCCTTCCTGGAAGCAAATGAGGACAGGATGGGATACAGCCATCCTTTATCCCATCCCGGGGAGTCTCAGCCTGCATCCACTCTCCTCACTCCTTCAGCTCTGATGCCTAGCCTGCCACCTGAATGCAGGTGGGAGGGGGTGGGGAATGGATGTTGCCTCAGGATGGCACCCTCCACTGAAGTCAGCTGCCTGGCTTCCTTAGAGGGAGGGGCTCACTGATGTCTGTTTGACAAATTGTTTCCTGCTGTCATCGCTACTTTGAAGTCATCTTACCTGATCTCTAGGGGCCTAGTGAGCCTATAAACCTACCAGCCTGTGCATGATGGAGGGTAAACGCAAGGCCCGTAAAGAGCCATTCTCCGTGACGTTCTGTTCTCTGTGCAGCTATGGGTGTGGGGGGCATGTGGCCGGGGCTGTTCACACAGAAGGGTGAGGCAGGGGTTGTCCAGGTGGAGTGAGTCCTGTGCCAAGGGGACCTATAGCTGTGCTTGGGGGCCCGTCATTAGCCGGGCACATCATTGAGTCACAGGCTGTGGAGTGGTATGGAGGTCCCAGGGGTCTGCAGGGGGACAGGAAAGTGGCTTTTGTGTGGGCTTCCCTTGGTCATAAGGGGACAGGTTAGAAGCTGGCTAGGGGACAGGGCCATCTAGGTGTGGGGGGAAGATGGGAGGGGACTGCCGGCGTGAGTCCTTTGGGAGCAGTCTGGCCCTTTTCTCTGTCCTGCTGTGGTCTGCCGGAGGGTCTTTCTGAAAGGACACCGACAACTCTTATCGCTATATCCAGTGGCCTGGGTCCGTGTGTTTGTGACCAGCAAGTACAGCACACATGTTTGGGTGCAGTTTGATGAGTCTTGGAAACAAGCACTCAGTCAAGATAAGGACATCTCCATCGTCCAGGCATGTATTTTAACTTCATCTGGTTCCTCTTAGGGGCATTTAACAGTGACACTCTTTCTCTGAGATGGTACCTCCCTGATGTCTGTCATGGGCCTGGCTGTGCAGCCTCTGTGACACTGATTTCTTTTTAATTGTCATTCTTTTCTCCACCCATCCTTAATCATTGGGGCTCCCCAAAGTCACACTGTTGTCTGCTTCCTGTTGGTGGTGACACCCTGGCCCCGTCCACTTCCTGGCTTGCATTCCCCTGTGCCCTCTGCCAATGGCCCCTGTCCCTCACTTGCTGGTTCCCAGGAGAACCTCTTGTTCTTGCTTCTGTCTCCCTCCTGTTTCTCTCCTTCATGTTCCCTGGGGCCAGTCGGTCTTCAGTAGGCATGTTTGCTCTGGGGCGTGTGGCACTGTCTTTGTGTTCTGCCAGCTCCCTTGTCAAGTAGCACCTGCTCTCGTGCCATGGGGCTTGTCTACCTGCCTACTCTGTGCCCAGTGCCCTTCAGCTGGACCCTCTGGTCTCAAAGCCACCGCTTTGTGCTCTTCCTACTCTGACCTCGGGAGCCTCAAGCCTCTCAATCTGCTTCCTCATCATCTGTTAAGACCCAGACGTTCTCTCTGGGTCTGTACTAGAAGCTTCCTTCTACCTTAGAGTTAATCCTCTAGCAGCGATTTTCAACTGGTGTGCCCCAAGAATTTTTAAAACATGCAATACCTGACTGTTTAGTCAGAGGAACTGACCTCTTTTCCCTTAGACTGTCAAAAAAAAAAAAAAAAAAAAATGACAGCAACCACTGACAGCCTCTGGTATTTTTTGGTGTGCCGCAGAATTTTAGTAATTAGCTGATGTGTACCATGAGATGAAAAAAGTTGAAAACCACTGGTCTGTAAGTTAATGGTCCTGCTCTGGGTTCCCATCCAAACTTAGTGATCCTGGGCAAGATAGTCTTCTTAATAAATATACAGATAAATTAGACTTTATCAAAACTAAGAATTCATCTTCAAAAAACAGTCAAGAAAATGAAAAGGCAGGCTACAGACAGGAAACCTACACCTTGTAAAACATTTCGACCTGTTTATTGGTTGAACTAGAGACACACCAAGTATGTCTTTGGGTTAATGTTATTAGGGGCAATTGATCAAGTCCTGGTACATTTCTGGGGAATTCCTGAAAAAACATCCTCCAAGTCATAAGTTTTAGTTTAAAAGTAAGAAAAGAATAAAAGCAGACTTGCCGAAACCGGTTTGGCTCAGTGGTAGAGCGTTGGTCTGCGGACTCAAAGGTCCCGGGTTCGATTCTGGTCAAGGGCATGTATAATACATTGGTTGCGGGCACATCCTCGGTGGGGGGTATGCAAGAGGCAGCTGATCGATGTTTCTCTCTCATCAACGTTTCTAGCTCTCTATCTCTCTCCCTTCCTCTCTGTAAAAAATATCAATGAAATATATTAAAAAAAAAAAAAAAAAAAAAGAATAAAAGCAGACTCAGTGCTCTTCCTCACTGGGGTGTGTGGCCACGTGTTCTCACCGGGTAGCAGGACCACAGAACTGTAGTAAACGGAAGCAGCATCGGCACTTTTAAACCTTGTAGACAGTGAACGAACCCGTTTGCTCAGTTTCTCACAAAACCTGCCTCCAGTGTTCCCAGGGGCAAACAGCAGGTTCCAGGGCCCCACAAGCTTGCTGCAAAAGACCCATTAGCCAGGGATCAAAATGCACCTCTGACTTTTGGGAAAGGCCTCCATTCCCTTTGCCAACTCTGCTACATGTTCTCAGGTGATGGAGGGCCCAGTGGGAATGGAACCTGAACTAGCACTGAAGGGGGTCTGGGAAAGTGGGTGTGACCTTATTGTGGCAACTGGGCAATTGTCCTCTGAGGGCTGACCCAGAGGGACGGGTGGGATTGGAGAAGAGGGTGCTGGTGCTCCTGTGAGGGTCACTGAGCCTGGATAACTGGAAGAAGGGGTGCCCACGTGGGGGTGGGGTTTGGGTATGGGTGGGGTGCTAAGGAGCCACGTGAATGGGGAGGGGGCGAGAGTCGGGGTGGAGTGACAGTGCCCCAGCTCTGGAGAGCAGAGGCAGAAGACCATTGGTGAGAGATGAGGAAGGCAGGGTGGGTGGACAGTAAGCTGATGATAGGTGCAAAGGCTTCTGGGAAGGTAGCTGTGAAGAGCTGTGTGGGGTCCAGTGCAGCGGCTGGTCTGTTTCTCTTTTTGTTTAAGACAGGAAACAAGCAGATTTTTGGCTAGAGATTTAGATGGCATTAATAGCAGGAGAGAGCATGCTCCCGAGAGAGGAATAAGGTGATAGGGACAGATTAGTGCTGGGGGTAGAGGTTGCAGACAGGGGACAGCGAGACCCTCGCCCTAGGCCCCACCCATGTAAAGAAAATAGTAATTTCTGTGTAGAAACTGGAACTATTGCAATAGTCTATCAGAAGAGCAGATGCATCGCAGCCTCTCTCTGCACTGGGAACACGGGGGAGGCAGCCACTTATCGTTGGTATTGCTGTTCCTTGTTGTATTAACAAAGTTTCAGTTTTTGGTGATTGTTTATCATAAATGTAAGAGTGTTTGAGATAGTTTCCTCTCCTGACAGGACAGTTTCAGTCCCTGCACCTGTTCTATGAGGTTGGTTGTGTTTTAGGTGAGCGGAGCCAGGTGAGACATCTGTCCTCCACTTTACAGCCAGAGCACAGGAGTCCCCGCGAGGGGTGCAGCAGCCAGGTCTTCCTCCCACTCAGGGAGAGTAGTGAGAAACCAGAGTCCAGTGTCTCCCTTCCTGATTCCTGCTTTTCGCCCCCCCCCCCCCCCCCCATTTCTAGAGCGGTTCTGGTCCGAGTCGAAGGATGCAGCCACCCAGTCGTCATGAAGGGTTTGTGTGCCGAGTGTGGCCAAGACCTGACTCAGTAAGTACTGGCCCGGCGTGAGCATAGTACCTTTCATGTTGGAAGGGGGACCGTGGGTACAGAGGCGAAGGGTGGAGGGCACGGGGAGGGGCTGGGAACCTGACTGCTCTAAGGTCAGCTCGCCGGGTCACCCGCAGAGATGCGTTTCTGATCCTGCGGTGTGTGCCTGGCCGCTTCCTCATGGAGTGCCGGTGTCAGGGTGACATCAGTGTGTTTTCAGCAGAGTTCTGTGAGGGACTGGAACGTAATCGTTTGGCCAGTCTCCTGTGTGTTTTAAGTGGACAACGTCCTGTAGTTGCCAGCAGCACATCGACCACAATGGAAATGAGAGTGCTCACTGCATTGGTCTGCAGCCGAAGGCAGCCACCTTATATCTCTCTCGCTTCCGCAGGCTGCAGAGCAAGAACGGGAGGCAGCAGATGCCACTGTCCACAGCCACCGTGTCGATGGTGCACAGTGTCCCGGAGCTGATGGTGAGCTCCGAGGTGAGTGCCGCCCGTGGGTTCCAGAGCAGGGAGAGGGCAGCCGGAGAACGTGCAGGGCTTTGATCACCTTATCTCTGACGTGACCTCTGGGAGGACGATGAGTATGGGGGCTGCACTTGTCTCTTTCCCAAGTGATTCCCCCTGGGAGGCATCTGGCTCCCTGCTCTCTGGGGCTTTGGCTCCGGTCCCTGGAGCCAGGTCCTGGCTGGAGGGATTAGACATGTGAACACAGGCTGCGACCAGCTGAGGGCCAGGGTTAGAGTCCATGAGCAGCTGCCGCCAGGACAAGTGGCCGTGCAAGAGGTGACCTGGGTAGAGTTGAGAGCATCGGCAGTGCTTATAGAGCAGACAGGGGTGCAGGGACCCCGAAGAGGCCTTAGAGCTCCTAGGGGGGCCCCTGTGCATTTAGGTACCAGCAGGCCCAGCTGCCCAGGAATTGAAGGTGTCTGCACAGAGAGGAAGTTCGGAGTTTTACCATATCTGTTTCTTTCATGCATTCCAAGCACACCTGACACCTCATGTTTCTATGGTCTGAGTCTAACGGGCTGAGTGAGCATCGCCAGGACAGAGCATAGGAACAGGCCTGTTGGGGTTGTATAAAAACTCAGATATAAAGCATTTTCAGAGTTCTGCATCTGTGTGAGTAGATGATACATTGTTGCAGGTATTTGTTTGTTTTTTTAGATTTGTGCTTTTAAATGATACCTACTTTATTTTTTATGAAAAAGACAAAATACCAGGTAACATGATTCAAGTTTTTCTGAATTATTGGATTTTAAACAAATGTAAATACGTATTGGGGGGCAGTATGGGGGAAAGAGAGAACTAGGGAGCTGGAGGATTAAAGAAAAGAGTGTCCCCCATTTCCTGCCACCATGGAATCACTATTGGCTTCAATCCCTTCAGGAACAGAGGTTAGAATTCTGTGCAACCTAACGGAGCCAGCGTTTGTTGACAGTATAACTGAGTTACAGTGAGAAGTGGTAGTGATGCAGGCCCAGAGTCTTTGTCACGGGCCCACATCATTGGCTGAGTGTGGTAGGACGAGGCCCTTCCAAGAGCAGCTTCCCTGCTGGCCCGTGAGGGCAAAATCTGGGCCACGCCTTCTCCAGGACCCGCCTGGGCCTCTTCCAAGGCGAAGCCCAGCGCCGAGCGGCGGGCACCTGAGATGCATCCACATGCCTGCTGCTGCACCTCGTGTCCCTGCCTGCCATCCCACTCTCCCCATTCCTTCTGCAGTTCACGGTGTTGAGTTGCTCCACACCATCCAACTAAATTTTTATAGGGACCATCACTTCCTTTTACCTCCTTTATCATTGGTTTACACCTTTCGTGAAATGACAGAATTAGGATCACAAGTCAGAGTGCCTTGCGGGGTGTGGTACACACTGCAGGCTCCAGGCAGCAGGGGAGTAGCCCTGTGGCCCCCATGGTCTGAACAGCAGTGGGTCCAGAGGGCAGTGAAGAACATGCTCAGCTTCCACCTGCTTTTCTTAATGAAATGGAATTGTATTTTGGATCCAGATGTACTTGCATTGTCATTTTTCCTTTTTCGTTTTAACTTCAGCAAGCCGAGCAGCTAGGGAGGGAAGACCAGCAACGACTGCATCGGAACAGGAAGCTGGTGCTCATGGTCGACTTGGACCAGACCCTGATCCACACCACCGAGCAGCAGTGCCAGCAGATGTCAAACAAGGTGAGTGCCGCGGCCCTCAGGGTTCCTCCAGGGCTTGTGCCACAGGCAGGTCCTCAGCAGCGTGAATGCAGACCTGGAAGGCCCAGGGGCAGGCAGAGTGGACAGCAAAGGGGGCGGTATTGGGGGAGAGGAGCAGGTTTGTGTGCTCTTCAGGAATGTCTGCAGTGGGGGGCAGTGCAGGTGGCCCGGGCTGTAGATGAGGCCGGATGCCTCCCTGCATGAATTCTCCAGAGAAATACAGAGAATGGGCCAAGGACAGAATGCTACTTCAACTTTGTGCTCAGAAGTTGTGGAGCCAAGAAGTTGAATTTCTGGACCTTTCAGAAGGCTGCGTGCCTGTTGCAGGTGACTGTCACCAGCATCACCAATATCGTTATCTTTCACTTATTTGTTGCTCAGTAGCCCTCTGTTAATGCTCGGATTTTCATGTCCACAGAGCTCAGCAGTCTGGTTAGGACAGCACTGTGGGAAGGTGTCCTTAACAGAGGCCAGGCTGGGACACGGGTTTATTGTGCCTTTGAAGTCGGGCATTTATAAGTTAGTTGAACTAGTTGTAACATGCCAGTTTCTCAGCTAATGTGGTCCAGAAAGCAAATGTCAGCATCTGCATGGTCGTCTGTGTACTGCTAGGGCTTCAGTGCTGCCACACCCTGCCCGTGGGCCCATCCCTCTGCTGGGCTCAGTAACAGGGTGATGACAGGGCTTTGCCGGCCACCCAGAGCCCCCTCACATGCTGCTGCTGACCCAGGACGCTGCTGATGACTTCAGACATATTGACTTCTTAACATGTGCCTTTCAGGATGCTTATTGCAGTTCATGGACTGTTGGATGGAGTGGAAGTTGTTTACAAGGCTTCATTCATAGTCTTTTTTATCTAAATATACATTTTTTTTTTAATTGATTTTTTTTTTTTTTTTTTTTACAGAGAGGAAGGGAGAGAGAGAGAGTTAGAAACGTCGATGAGAGAGAAACATCGACCAGCTGCCTCCTGCACACCCTCCACCAGGGATGTGCCAGCAACCAATGTACATGTCCTTGACCGGAATCGAACCTGGAACTCCTCAGTCCGCAGACCAACGCTCTACCACTGAGCCAAACCAGTTTCGGCACATTCATAGTCTTCTAACAGCCTGATCACGAGGGCTTTGACTGACTTAGAACTGGGAAAAGTTAACTAAGCCTTACGTTTCCTTTGTAGTTGTTGTTTAGAGCATTTTTACTGAGGAAATTGATGATAAATAGGATTTAAAAGATCAGAGTTTACTTCCTGAGGAGAGGGAGCCTATTTGCCTATTAATCGTGTATAAGCATGTTGGTATTACTAATTTTACCGTCTGCTGAGGTGATTTAGAATGCTGTTTCAGCTTCTGTGATGTGTCTCTAAGTTAATAAAGCTGTGTCTTAAAATAGTCTGCAAGGTAGACTAGCTTATGTGGGAACCCGTGGCTTGCTTTCATTGATAACTGGGGTAGACACTGTCAGCAGATTACTGGGAACCTGCTGTAAGCTGACTATGGTTCTGCTATTTGACAAATGTCAGTATTTGAAGGAACAAAGCACATGAGTGACATTACTTTGCTTTATTCATCATTAACAAGAGTGGGCACAGTAGTCAGGATGTGTGAGGGTTTGCTGGTGTCCTTGCAGCCCTTCAGTGACACTGCAGGGAATGGGTGGTTGTCTTAGTTGTGATAGCTGTTTCCTGTGTTTGTCACAGGTAGTCTCTGTACTTATAACAGACTAGGGGCCCAGTGCATGAATTCATGCACCTTGAACTATGGGCCATAAGGCTGTGGTGGGCACAGGTGCAGGTCTCAACCCGTCCTCCCCACCGCCGCCCGGCCCCTCCCGCCACAGCCCCCAGCAGCGCTGGCCCTGCTCGCACCCTCTGACAGTGTGGAGTGATTGGGGCCAGCACCGTCAATGGGTGTGAGCGGCAGCTCCTGCCCCAATCACCCCTCAGAAGCAGGGGGAGGTGGAAAAGTCCTCGGGGGTGATCAAGGCCAGCAGCACCGCTCACACCCGCTGATGGCGCTGAGTGGTCAGGACCAGGACCAGTACTGGCAGTGGGTGCGAGCAGTGTCCTGGGCGCTGGCTTCAGGTGCAAATTTGGCTGGCGCTGGAAGTGGGTGCCTGCAGGGCTGGTGCCAGCAGCAGGTGCAAACGCTGGGCAGGACCACGGCACACAGGACAAAGAATTTTCAATAACCACCAGAGGCTTGCCCTGATGACAGCGACTGGTGCCCTGCCTTTGTCTGACACCCCCCCTCACCTGCTCCACCATCCTGCTACGGCCAACACCCACCATATTCCACACACGCCCCCTAGTGGTCAGCACACATCATGGTTGTTTGGTTGTTCCACCATTCAGTCTATTTGCATATTAGTCTTATTGTATAGGAATATATAGGATAGTTGCTCTCATTGCCATAGGTGTTACTATGGGTACTTGCAGTGGTTTTGTAGGCAGTTACATGTTGTCATCGGTAGTTGCTGTGTGGGTGGCCACAGCATAGGGGGCTGAGCACACTCCTGTGGAGCATGTGTAAGGAAATGGTGTGTGCCAGGTAAGTTGACATGATACCTTGACCCCTGTCCTGACGGTGGAGCCCATGCCCTTGGGTCCTCTGCTGACTGGGCATTCGCTCTCCGCAGGGCATCCTACACTTCCAGCTGGGCCGGGGTGAGCCGATGCTGCACACCCGCCTGCGCCCGCACTGCAGGGAGTTCCTGGAGAAGGTCGCCCGGTTGTACGAGCTGCACGTCTTCACGTTCGGCAGCCGGCTATATGCACACACGATCGCAGGTGAGCATGCGACTCTGGCTGAGCTGTGTGTGGTGCACCTGAACACTGAGACTGGGTTATTTCTTACTGTCCGCCATGCTATTTATTTATTTATTTATTTATTTATTTATTTCAGAGAGGGGAAGGGAGGAGAAATAAAAACATTGATGAGAGAAAATCATTAATCGGCTGCCTCCTACATGGCTCTTACATGGAGATGGAGCCCACAACCTTGGCATGTGCCCCAACCAAGAATCGAACCGTGACCTCGTGGCTCACAGGTTGATGCTCAGTCACTGAGCCACCGCGGCCAGGCCCGACATGCTTTCTTGAAGGTGAAGGAAGCTCCCTGTCAACCTCCCTGGGAGCTGGTGGTTGGGGTGGCCAGGCAGCGTTAAGTCTCTTAAAGCTCAGCCACTGCTCTCCTGGGCAGCCCCTCCCCACCTGCTTTCTAGATGGACTGGCTGCTGTCATGGGCCAGTTTGGGAGTCGGTCAGGACCACAGATAGCTGAAAAATAAACATCTATAATAATAAAAGCGTATTATGCTAATTAGCCCCAACATCCTTCTGGATTAAGCCAAGGCTGTGAGGTAAGCCAGGTCCTGAGTGCCAGAGGGAAGCCGGTGCTGGCAGCCAGGGGAAAGAAGGCCTACTCTTGCACGAATTTCGTCCATCGGGCCTCTAGTCTTATATATAAGTGAACTTAAAATGTTTTACTAATTGGTTTGGAAACACTTGTGGGGCCACATTGCTTGTCTATTTGCACTTAACATTTGAGGTGCAGACAGGCGATCTTACTAGGAGCACGCAATGGCAGTTCAGCACTAACCTGTTGTCTTGGTGCAGGCGTTAGGCTGAGCTGGCTGAGCTCAGTGAATGGAGGCAGCAGCCCTTGGGTCATGCAGCATTGCCCACAGTGGCCACGGCTGGGGGCAGTGTAGGGTATGGGCTCTACCACCCTGGGGACAGCCGGGATCCAGCCCCACTGACTGCAGGTGGACCTAGTACCTCCAATGTGACATGGTCACAGCTCGGTGTTAGATATCGATGGTCAGATTCAGCACCTTGAAATTCTCTTTATTGGTTTGTCTTGGTCCTTTGTTGTTGCTGGAGAAATGAATTTTTCTTCTCCTGTGTACATTTAGTGCCCTTGTAGGACATTATAATCATGAACATATTATAATCAGGCAATATATTAAAGTAATTTGTCTTGTAACTAAAATTCATCGTATTTGCCTTTAGCGTGTGGCTGCTGTGGCTATTGGGATAAGTGATTGGGACATGTGAAGGTTAATGTAACTACTTTATAGAATTCTTGGTGATGCTCTGTGTCTCTGATTCTAAAGAAACAGTAAGATCTTCACCGTATGCATAGTGGAGTGTCCGTGCATTTTAGACACACATGACCTTTATCCTGCTTTCTTTTCAAAGGCTTTTTAGACCCTGAGAAGAAGCTTTTTTCTCACCGAATATTGTCGAGGGACGAGTGTATTGACCCATTTTCTAAAACAGGGAACCTCAGGTACGTACCTGCTCTGTTCATCCCAAGACTTGCTTTTGGTTCCCATTGTGAAGATGCATTGGGAGCATCGAGCAGTAATTGTGTTTATTCTTGCATTTCTATCACTGTCTCTGGAATTGTCTTCTAACCAGACCCCTACTTCCTGCTTCTCCCTGAATGTCCAGACAGGTGGGAGCCCAGAAGGATGGTGGTGTGGAGAGAAGGAGCTGAGAGCAGGGCTGGGGGGGGGAGGAGGTGGACATAGGAAATTCAGGTGACAGTGTCGGTGGAAAGTGCCCAGAGCTTCCCCAAGTACCAGGTGGGCTGTCTGTCAAGTCACAAGTTTAACGAAGGTGTTGGCATCTCAGGTTCATGATCCCTCCAGAGCTGGCTTGCTGTTAACGCTGGGAGTGTTAGGAGAGCCTAGGTCACATTTTCATTTGCCCCTCTGTTCTTCCTGCCCTTCCCATCATCACCCGTCTTCCTGACTTGTCGTGTCTATTTCTTTTTTCTTTTTCTTTTTAATATATTTTATTGAGTTTTTACCGAGATGAAGAGAGAGGGACAGAGAGCTAGAAACATCAATGAGAGAAAAACATCAATCAGCTGCCTCTTGCACACCCCCTACTGGGGATGTGCCCGCAACGAACGTACGTGCCTTTGACCGGAATCAAACCTGGGACCTTTCAGTCCACAGGCCAATGCTCTATCCACTGAGCCAAACCAGTTTCGGCTGTCCCTATCTATTACTCTGCGACTGGGCCATCCCACCCAATCACAGGGCTCTTTGATATTCTCAGAAACGTCGTCCCTTTATGAGCAATGTCCCCCTTTCTACCCAGTGTCAGGTAGAACTAACGAGACTGGATAGTAAGGCAGTAACAGCTGTGTCCTCAGTGACCTCCTGGCTGGTGTCTGCCACCTGCATCTAACATTTCGTGTGCAGATTTGGGGTGTCCACACGATTTGAGACCCATTCAAGTCAATGTGCACTAGGAAAAGTCTGAAAGTACTTGTTTCAGAAACAGACCTTGTGTGTTTGCTCCTTAGCGTCAGAGTGAGCAGGTTGGTGTGGACAAGGACAACGAGTGAGCGTGTCAGTGACTAAGGAGCCTGCTGCTCCACAGTGGACACGGCAATCCCCCATCTGGAATTAAATGTGCTGGAAGACATTGCCACCAAGGTGTTTTAGCTAGCATATGTTCTTCTGGAAAATGGACTCAAAAATATTAATTTTGGACACATGAACAGTTTTTCCTGGGTAGTGTAGCCTTTATTATTTATTAGCAGTAGAGACCCTGAACAGTGGTAGGCATCTCTACTGGATCTTGGAGACAGGCAAGTAGCAGTCATCATTCTGAGTATTGAGTGCTGTGAGCCAGCGCTCTGAATCTCAGGGGTGTGGACAAAAATGAAATCTAAGGAGACCCTGGGAGGTAGCAGAGCATGCCTGCACCCAGGGATGGCCTTAGGCCCTTGTTAGTATTTCTGCTCACCCCACACACACTAGTAGATTTGAGAACTTTAAGGTTGGGAACTTTAAGGTTTGGGAACTTTAAGGTTGAGCCTTCCTGCCCCTCTCTCTGAAAGCCCTCACCTGGGAACAGGTGGAGGCAGACTCTGGCCTGTAGGCAGATAGCCTGTGTTTGTAAATGAAGTTGTACTGGGACATGGTCACCGATTTGTCCGCGAGGCTTTGTTGGGACTGGAGCTTTCTCCTTCCTCTCTGGTCTTCTAAGGAGAGTGCTGACTCCTGCCTTGAGAAGCAGTGGGGACAGTAGAGGAAACTGACATTTTAACGTTACCTTCTCTGGAAACAATTTCAACACAAGCTAAACAAAAGCCCGCCTGTACTTTGCATCTGTTTCGCATTAGTCTGCTGGTCTAGGGTTACATGTAAGATAGTTAAGACTCTTAGTTGATGATACTTTTTTGTCAATCATGCTAGTAGTTCTGATCCATTTTTACTTCTAGAAATCTCTTTCCTTGTGGAGACTCAATGGTTTGCATTATTGATGACCGAGAAGATGTCTGGAAGTTCGCCCCCAATCTGATCACCGTAAAGAAATACGTCTACTTTCAGGGCACAGGGGACATCAATGCTCCCCCGGGGTCCCGGGAGCCTCCGGCGAGAAAGAAAGGTGGGCCACTCCCTTCTAGTCCTCAGAGAAGTATTAGCATTTGCTTCACTGTCTCCTCCGCCTCTCACCTGCCTTGTGACTGCTCTGAATTCAGGACTCACTTTGTTGCTGCTTGTTGTATTTCATTATTACAGAGGCTGTTGTTTATATTATACTAAAAGGCATGATATTATTTTGTTTCTGTTTCTTAATCATACAGTTTGAACATTTTTCCACTTGAGTAGGATTAAATAAAACGTTTTGAGGTATGCAATTATTACTGCAGCCACTGAAATAGGACTGAGAGGTCTGTCTGTGCTGGGAGAAAGTGGGACCCAGCAGTGCCCCTGCAGTGGACAGCTCGATGGCCTGTCTGAAGCAGTGTGTAACGGATACGTCTGCGTTTTCCTATTTCTTGGAAATCATAGTAACCTCTCCTTTTGTGTGCACCTGCAGTGAATTATCCTCCCAAAGGTGCTGACATCGCAGATCAAGCTCCGTCCATTAAGGACCCTGAGGAGGGAAGGCCAGTTTCTGCAATCGAGCAGAGTAATGGCCTTGGGAAGCCCATGAGGGAACTCAACGGGGACTGGGCCTCGCCTGCTGCCCGAGCCCCTTTGGTGGACGGTAGGGGGCCCCCAGTGTGTGTTCAGCAGCAGGCTCGGACCTCAGTGGAGAAGCAGCCCGCTCAGGGCACAGCAGGCAATGACCTGGACTTTGACTTATCCAGTGACAGTGAGAGCAGCAGTGAGTCGGAGGGTCAGTCCTCCACCACCTCTGATGGCGAAAGTGGGGAAAAGAAGAGCCAGAAGAAGCCCAAGGCTGCGAAGGACACCAGGAGAGCCGTGCAGCAGGGTGGCGCCCCTGGCCCGGGTGTGGAGAGGCCCACACGGCCGAATCACTGCGGAGAGCCTGTGCCCGGAGTCCAGCCTGATCTGCAGGAGGAGGGCGAGCGAGACAGCTTCTGTGGGCTGGCGGGTGGCTCTGCCGACAAGAAGGAGGCCGAAACGGAGTCCCAGAACAGTGAGCAGTCAGGTATCACAGTGGGCGAGTCCCTGGACCAGAGCGTGGAGGAGGAAGAGGACGACGAGGAGGAGGACTCTGATGGTGATGACCACCTGGTCCACCTGGAGGAGATCCTCGTCCGCGTGCACTCTGACTACTACGCCAGGTACGACCGCTATCTGCGCGGGGAGACCCAGGAGGCACCCGACATACGGAAGATCGTCCCTGAGCTCAAGAGCCGAGTACTGGCGGACGTGGCCATAATATTCAGTGGGCTGTACCCCACCAACTTCCCGGTGGAAAAGACACGAGAGCACTATCATGCCACGGCCCTCGGAGCCAAGATCCTCACCCAGCTGGTGTTAGACCCTGACGCCCCTGACAGGGCCACCCACCTGATTGCTGCAAAGGCAGGTAAGTGGCCGGCCAGCCACTAGGCCTTCCTAGGTCCTGCCTCGAGGTGGGGGCAAGGACAACCGAGGGAGTTCGTGGGGTAGAATGCATCTACATTGTCTCTGCAGTCGTTTTTTGGAACTAGCAGGGCTCCTGTTTCATGTGGAATTTTCAGAAGCCTCTTTCTGGTAATTACATAATGGCTAAGTCCTATTTGGACTGGTTCTCTTCTGCCCATCTTGGGCCTACGTATGTATGTGGGCGTGTCCTGGGTGCATGCCTTAGGCTCTGTACTGGGTCCCTGAATAGCCTGGCCATTGCTCCCCTCCTGTAGGCACAGAGAAGGTGCGGCAGGCCCAGGCGTGCGGACAGCTGCATGTGGTGAACCCTGACTGGCTGTGGAGCTGCCTGGAGCGGTGGGACAAGGTGGAGGAGCAGCTGTTCCCGCTGAGCGAGGACTACGGCAAAGTGCAGAGGTGAGCTGCCAGCAGACTCGGCCCCGTCTCCTCGAGAGCCCACCCCTGGGCATACCAGCCTTGCTGCTCGCAGACCCACACGGCATCCCCAAGGTTCGGTGCGTGGCTTCCTCAGCCCTCCCCCCTGTGCCCTGCCTGCCCCACTGGGGCTCCTCCAGGCTCCGTCACGCACAGGTTATCCAGAAAAGGTGACCGTTACTGCCTAGGGAAGAAGTACAGGTTTTTTCCTGTGACTGTGCAGTAGGGCTGTCAGCAATGAATGTAGTTTGTGTGTTTCTTTTACAACTGATAGAAGTTATATGAGCCACAAAGCTGCTGTAGAGTCATTGGGAGAGGCTCAGCCGTGGCGAGGAATATGTAAGAGAGCCTGGTGTTTGTTGTTTTTTTCCATAAAGGTTTGAAAAATGCTTCCTATTCTTAAAGAGTTTGATGTTGTATTTAGAGGGAAATCCTGGGACGGGCATGAGGGAAACAACAAACGCAGCCTGCACGTAGGCCCCTGTGCTGTGTGATGTCCTGCCCAGGCTCTGCCCTCGAAGTTAAGATGAGTGGTGTCCACATCTTCATCTGCACAGGCTCTGAGTGTAGAGGAGGGAGACCTCAGTTCAGGGCCTGTGTAGGGCGTCTTTCAACCCCCGGTGAGTCCTGGCTTCTCATGGCCTGTTCTCACCCACAGGGAGGACAGTCCCGCAGCCTTTCCCGACAGGCAGGGTGCACTGCCAGCTGCCTTGTTCCACCCGACACCCGTGCACCCCAAGGCCCAGCCCGGCCCCGACGTCCGGATCTACGACGCCAGCACGGGCAAGCTCATCCGGAAGGGCACTACCAGCCCCGGGCCCCCCGGCTCCCTGCAGATCCACACGGGACACTCCTCTTTCAGGTACGTCTGCCGCGCCGCACCGCGGAGCACACCTGCTGGCAGGGCTTCCCTCGGGCGGGCTGGGTGCATCCGGTGCTGCGTTGAACTTGGCTGCCGCTGAGGGCTCTGACTGCTGGTGTGGAAAAGCCTCCCCCTCTTCCACTTCGGGCCTCTCTGCATATGTTGTTTGTGTCGGCCGCCATGCACTGGCTCGCTCACACGTCTCAGTGTCGCCCTCCATGAGCCGCTTCATTTGCTGACCACACATGGGCCGTTGTTGGCCATATCACAGCAGGTGATGGGCTGGGGTGAGGGAGCGGGGGACTGGGCCTGACCCTGATGCCGCAGGCCCACCAGGTCTGTCCCTCCCACAGGACGGATGGTTGTGAGGGAGAAGGGCAGCTCTGGGCCTGTGCTGGGCTATGCCGCCCCAGCTCAGCAGCACAGCCTCCCTGGTCGCCTACCCACTTCCACACAGCCCGGATGGGCTGGTGATGGCGATGGGTTGAGCAGGACATGAAGGAGAAATGCCCAAGTGGACCCGCATCTGTGCTTCCCCAGCGGGGAGGGCAGTTGTGGAGTCTCGGGTGCGCCCTCCATTTCCTCTGTGCCGACAGGATCCTGAGTTTGAGGACCACACACCCCACTGTGTAAGCAGTGTTGGGGCGGTGTCTGAGATTTAAATGAGGGTCCGAGGTTGGCGTTACAAAGAGCTGCCATGGTGTGGCATTGTGCTAGACGTGTGGCCCTGCTTCATGTCCCCTCTCCCTCTGGAAAGCGCCGCCCCCCCCCCCCCCCGCCCGCCCCCAGCAGCTGTTCACGCTGTGAGTAGCCATTGGTGCCTCCCTCTGGCCTTCCCCCGGACATGGTGACACTTCAGAGCCCAAGTGAGTCGCTCAGAGTGGACATGGAGCCACCCCTGATAGCCCAGTAAAGTGTCCGCTGACCCTGCTGTGGGGCCCCAGGTGTGACAGACACCCTGGGTTGGGCTTTTGTTTGGTGATTGGTTGTAACTAAAAGCATCATCACTTGATGATGAGAGACAGACCAGAGGACTGCTGTTGTTTTTATACGAGCTGCCCATTTGTGTGTAATAACCTGGGCTGTATGTGCTACTTTTTATTCACGGTGGGAAAGTTAATTTTCATTCTGGAAATATTACAAGATTCTGTCTTTTCCTTTTAGACTTATGTACTTGTGTCCAGATCAATAAAATAGAAATAGAGAGGCAAAAAAAATAAATAAAATAAAATAAAAGCATCATCACTATTAAATCCCACCAGTTAAGGATTTACATTTGACCTCTGTGCTGCTGCTTGCGTTCCTGTGACCTCCAGTCATGATAATATCCAGGAAAGGTCATGCGTTCCTTTAATAAATGGTGCCAGTGATTGACCAAGTTTGCTGGGACTTGCAGTCCCACCAGCAGGTGTCAGGTCACCTGCTGTGTCACCAGGCCGTTGCCTTCTCTCATCTCGACTCACCATTGGGATCTCACTTCAGCAAGCTGTCCTTTGTAGTCTTAACTTGCCCTTTTTTTCTTCCTGGGTTTTTGTGAGTTTCTGGGAAATGTTCATTGAGTTAGAAAACTGCCCTGTAGTTGCTGCCGTTGCGATGAAGGAGGCCAGGGTTCTTCCCGGCTGGACTGCATCCCTCACCCTTTTTGGATGTATGGAGTCCTGGGTATTTTCCTTTGTCATCAGCACTTAGGGCTCAAATGTTTATAATGTGTAGTGTTCACTCTCAGACCTTTCTTGACATATTTCTCACAATGGATTTCACCTGTATCCCACCCTCTCTTTAGAAATTCTGTGGTGAACAATATCATTTTAGGTATATATGTTTACGTATAGCCTTTCCTTGGCACCCAGGTGAGCAAATGTTTGGCATCCTCTCTTGTCGCCAGAGCAGCAGGTAGACGGTTGCTGCTCAATTAAAGGTTCAGCTAAAGCGGTGACGGACTTCACCTCCGAGTTCGTGGAGGACGTGTACCTAAGGCAGAAAGGCTTCTTTGGTATTTCAGCGGAACTCTCCTTCAGGCTATCCTGCAAAATATTAAGTGTGGGTTTCTAGCTCTATTTTACTGTCCCAGAGAGGTCCAGAGGGGCGTGGTTTCTTGCTTAGGTTCTGATGTGCATGGACTGTCAGGTGTTCGGGACGGGTCCTGTGTTTATCCGCTACCACATAGAGCAGTGGTTCTCAACCTTTTCTTTCTTTTTTTTTTTTAATATATTTTATTGATTTTTTTTTACAGAGAGGAAGGGAGAGATATAGAGAGCTAGAAACATCGATGAGAGAGTAACATCGACCAGCTGCCTCTTGCACACCCCCTACCGGGGGGATGTGCCCGCAACCAATGGACATACCCTTGACAGGAATCAAACCCGGGACCCTTCAGTCTGCAGATCGATGCTCTACCACTGAGCCAAACCGGTTTCAGCGGTTCTCAACCTTTCTAATGCTTCAGTACAGTTCCTCATGTTGTGGTGACCCCCACCATAAATTTATTTTCATTGCTACTTCATAACTATAATTTTGCTACTGTTATGAATCAATGTAAATATCTGTGTTTTCTGATGATCTCAGGCAACCTTGCTATCAGTTCTCAACCTGTGGGTCGCTCATCCTCTCAGCCAGGATGGGGACAGGGACATAGTGCATACACAGGGTGCTCCTTGCCCGGAGCCTCCTGACATTCTTTGTAGCCATAGGCACATCCCCACCCACCGGCTGCCAAGATCCGGTCGGTCGCCATCCCTGGGATTCCGAGAGTCTTTTGTGCCCTCCCTGCTGGGCCCTGCTTCCTGGTGACCATCACCCATGTGGACGTCGGGATGTGCCCACGTTTCTCTAGAGTGACCGTGGGCTGTGGCTGCCGGGTTGGTGCTCAGTGTGTGCTCATCCTGTCAGGACCTGCCCGGCCCCGGCCCTCAGGTGGCGGGGCCTTCTCTTGCCCCAGCAGTGACATTTTCAGTCTCTTTTATGTCTTGTTCAGATTGAATGGTTTCTGTTCATCTTCAAGGTCACTGGGTTTTGTTCCCTCCGTCTCCTCTGTGGTGACATTGACCCCGCCCAGGGCATCTTGTTGGTTGGTTGGTTGGTTGGTTGGTTGATGTCTTCTGTTTCCTTACTGAGGCTGTTTGTTTTATCTAAGTGTCCTTGTAGCTGCTGGTTGAAGGATAACTGCTCTCCAAACAAGAAATTGTGAATCTGGCTTAGCACGGACAGTGGTCCCACGGCCTGTGTGTCAGCCTGTTGTGATCTACTCTTGGGTGGAAAATCAGGAAGAAGTGGGCCCCCTGCCCTCACGGCCTCTCGGGATAAGGGGTTGGAACGTTGCAGGTGCCCTGAGGGCTCGGGACCCTGTTTGGTGACCGATGTGCAAGGTCTTATGCACCTTGGAGCCACAGCCCAGGCTCAGCTCAGCTCAGCTCCACGTACCCCTAGGTCTGGGGGCTCCCTGCTTTCTTTGTGCTTGTTCTCAACCTTTCAAGTTTTTGTTAAAACTCTAGGACCGTTTTTCTGAAGGGAAACTATAGTTTTAGTAAAAAGATTCCTTTGCTGCTTTTCCATATTCATGTTGGAGCTCTGGGTGTTTGGAACTGATAGTAAGTGGGTATGAATTAGAGTGTGGCCTGGTGTCTACATCAGAGAATAAGTATCAAGCACTCGAGTTGGTGGGTGGGCTGCTGGCAATGCCGGGAATATGCATCTGACTCTTGAACCATGGGGGGATTGGGCGCCGACCTGCACAGTTGAAAATCCACATATAACTTTGACTCCCCAGAACATAATTGTCCCTGGGTACCTACAGGGGATCGGTTCCAGGGTGCTCAAGTCCCCTCTATAGAACAGCCTAGATCAGTGCACGCAGTCGCCCCTCTGCGTCCACGATTCCCAACTCAGGTCAAAAAGAGCAGGTGTTCATTGAAGGAAGTCTGAGTGTAGGTGGACTCGCACAGGTCACACCCGTGTTATTCATTCTTTAGGTTGTGTTTATGTTTCCAGGTTTAAAAAAAAAACAAAAAAAAAAACCTTCCCTTCCTTAAATAATATTTGATTAGCCTAATACAATTGCTGCTTTTTTATTTTGTGGTTTAGACTTAATACCTCCATTTTTCTTCAAAAGAATGAGGTTTTACTACAAGGTTGTCAGTGTCCCAGTGATTAGACCTGTGGTGTCTGTCTGGTTCCAGGCCCCCACAGAGCAGCTGACTCCAAAAACAGTGCCCAGAGGAGAGTAACTGCAGCTTTCACGAGCCCCTGAAATTCCCACAGCCGTGACAGGTGTGAGAGTGTGAGTGTGAGATCTGACCGCCGAGACAAGTGTGTGTAGAGGGAAGCTTCAGAAATTGGTTCAGACAGAACTAATTGTAACGTAGTGGGACATCCCTGACATGAGCAGAGTGTCAGCTCTTGGGCGGAGCCTGTTGGTCTTTGCTGGTTGGTTTATTGTATTAATATTTAATAGTTTAACCCAACTTTGGACACAGAATTCATGGTACCTTTTCCTGTTCTCTGTGGACAGATGCATCTCTTTCTTCATAATCATATTTCCTGTTTTTATAGCTTGGATAATATAGAAATAGTTAGTTTTGTTTTGTTAAATCTTATAGCTTGTTCAACCTTATTTTGAGGATAAATAACAGCTCCTGCGGGTTTCTGGAAGTTTTTCATCGTCACTCTTCCTATTTGCTCTTTGTTCTAAAACCAGTGAAGCCCAGTGGAAGCTCTGGGGTGGCGGTGGGTGTTGGCTTTCACAGGAGGAAACCAGCAGCCTCGAGCTAGTGAGATGAGGCAGCACATTCCGTAACTAGGTTGGTCTCTGAGTGTGCGTGTGCATATGTGTGCGTGCATGCGTGTGTGTGTGTGTGTGTGTGTGTGTGTGTGTGTGCGTGCTTACCTGTCCCGAGTCAGGAATCTGATTCAGTGCTGGAAAAGTGCCTTCCCTCATGTGGGACCTAAAATGTTCATTTCAGAGCTGTTCAGCCTCAGCAGCAGCAGATGTTTGGTGAAGAGCTGCCAGATAATCCTGATGGAGAACAGCCTGGTCCTTCTAGAAGAAAGCGACAGCCCAGCATGTCAGAGACCATGCCGCTGTACACTCTGTGTAAGGAGGATTTAGAGAGTATGGACAAAGAGGTGAGACCCTCAGCGTGCCAGGCCCTGTGCCCTCAGCCGGCTCCTCTGGGGCCCAGCATCCTGCCTGTGGGTTGGGACTAGCACTTTGTTTCTAGGAAACGAAATGGGCAACAGTATCAAGTGATGTGTCAGTGTGTGGGCAGCATTTGGCAATAAGTACACGACCTCGGGCTTGTGATTCCATGGTGGGCCCTCACAGTCCCTCCCCCCCAGGGAACCTGACAGCATCTGGGCTTGTCATTGATAAGGGGGTGCTCCTGGCATCGAGCAGGTGGAGGCCAGGGATGCTGCCTAGCAGCCATGTGAAGTCAGTTTGTCTGTCTCCTGGTTCATCTCTAAAACCACAGCTCTCCTGTCAGCCTGGCCTGGGGTCCTCCCCTGGCCCTTATGCCCCACACCCTGCCCCGGACCAGGCCCTTGGGGAAAGGGTCATGCCCATCAGGGTCTCCGTTGTACATTGTTAGCACAGCATCTTTCTTGGGCTGGCTAGTTTGAAGGGCCAACGTAGAGAACCACGTCACACATCCCAGTAAACAGCAGCGGTTGACTCCTAGCAGGCCCCTGGGTGGGACAGGCGCTGAGACAGATCATTGGCCTCAGTGCTTACCACTTGGCACGATGGTACCATGCAGACAGATCACTCGGTTTCACTGGGAGTGCTGGGTAGTGTGCTGAGGAGGAATACAGAATTTCAGTTTATTTTCAACAACAGCAGGAAAATGGAAATGGTCTATTCCATAGAGAACCTCACCAGAGCCTCAGAATACCATCTTCAGAGATAGTTTTTTTGTGACCATTAGACCCAGTTTTTATGGGCCCAGTTCCTCAGTTTCCATCACCTGCCTCTGAGAACATGGAGCCTGTACACAAGCTGTTGTTTCCTAAATGTTTTCTCTAATAAAAGAATTTCCTCACCCGAACCCAGTGGTCGGCAATCTCATTAGTCCACAGAGGGACAAACTGTGGCTCACGAGCCGCAGTTTGCCATCCACTGCCCTAGCCGGTTTGGCTCAGTAGATAGAGCGTTGGCCTGCGGACCGAAGGGTACCGGGTTTGATTCCGGTCAGAGGCACATACTTTGGTTGCAGGCTCCTCCCCAGCCCAGGCCCTAGTCAGGGTTGCAGGAGGCAGCCAATCCATGTGTTTCTCTCATATCATTATTTCTCTCTGTCTTTCCCCTCTCTGAAAATCAATGGAGAAAATGTGGTTGGCAAACTCATTAGTCAACAGAGCCAGATATCAACAGTACAACAATTGAAATTTCTTTTGAGAGCCAAATTTTTTAAACTTCTAACTCCACATCTTCAAAACAGACATTTCCAGGCCCTGGTATTTTGTGGAAGAGCCACACTCAAGGGGCCAGAGAGCTGCATGTGGCTCGAGAGCCGCAGTTTGCCGACACAGTCCATGAGTGAGGATTAAAAAAAAAAAAAATTCCTCAACACTACCTCTCTAAGCCCAGGTCTAGCTGTCCCTTCCACAGGCATACTGTCCCCTTAGGAGGACACCTGGGACCCTCACTGCATCGCCCCAGTCAGTCATGGGTAACCTCACTGCCTTGACGTACAGACACACTGCCCAGTTTGTCAGGCAGTCACAACATTTTTAACTCTTGTTTGTTTCATATCAAAGGGATTGAAATTTTAATGTCAAATAAAGTGTTACATATAACTCACTCTGAAACTAATCTTTCTTACAGAAATAAAAATTAGCCTTAAAACTTTAAACATTGCTGTTGGGAACAGGAGGAATTGAAGGCGAGAGACATCCTGGACTCTCCCAGAGAGCACGGGGGTGAGGATAGAGGGTGTGTCAGGAGACTGGGGTTCTGTTTCATCTCCACCAGGAAACCACACCATGCTGTGGGCGGCAGGTGACCTGGGGAGTGGGGTGTGGTCCGAACTTCCTGACTGAGTGGGAGCTGATGCCCCTCGTCTCTGGGGCTCCTCAGTCCTGGGGAGCCTGGGGCGTGTCCTCATCCTCCCCCACAGCACGGCGAGAGGGCTGGGAAAAGTGGGGGCGTGAGCGTGCTGGGAGTGGCAGGCAGTGCTGTTCTGGGCTGCTGTCCTAGGCTGCATCCATAGGGAAGGCCCCGGAGAGCTGCCCCAAGCAGCTGAGCAGAGAGAAGTCTGCTCTTCCTTAAAATTTAGTCAAACATGATAGTCCGTGCCCCAGCTGGCACCCACTGAAGGGACATGTGGCTCTTGTGCAGGGGCAGTGAGGGCAGAGCTGCTCCTGGCTCTCCGGTCACCCTGGATCTATGGCAGCCGAAGGCTCCATCAGAGGGGCCCGTCCTTCAGTCTGTTCCCTGGGAGGGGACTCGTGTGAGACTCCAGAGTGTCAGGAGACCCTCTCACCATCCAACGGGCGTGTCTGCTATTTGTCACCATGAGTCAGCCTCCTGGGGATTTGCACTCCTTTCCTGACCCCCCAGCACTCAGGGTGTTTCAGAGAACCCCCTTACCCCCCCCCCCAAAGTGTAGGTGTTGCTTGGCCAGCGAGGAGACCCGTGGACCTGGTGGTGCCTCCACACCAGGCCAGACCTCTCCTCTGTCGCATCTTCTCGGCGGGGCTGGTCTGCCGGCCGCCTCCTGCATCACACAAGGGCTCTGTGCGCACACTGGGAGCCTCAGATAGGAGAGGAGTCACAGCAGTCCTGTGAGATGCGCGGGGACGCTTAAACACGAACTACGCTCTGCACACAGACCGCGGGGCGTGTCCTGACCCAGAGGCAGCGACGCCGCTCCCACGCACCTGTCACTGGGGGAGGACAGGTTGGAACAGGTGGAAGCCGGGATCAGAGCCGTTGCATCCCCCCTATTGCCATGGTCCTTTTTCAGATAAGATTCTGTTCTTGGAGGTGAGTCAGGATACCTGCTGCTTCAGATTCACCACTGCCGGCGAGTTCCATCCTGATTTAGCCGCCAGTGACCTTTTAGTCAACACCACGTCTTTTGCATGAATTCCTTATGTTGACTCCGCAGAACATTCATGGCAAATACGGTTAAGTTCTAGGATTCTATCCAGGTCACCTGGCATGGTTTTGTTTAGTTACCTGGTGGCACACTATTCCTTTCCGTAAATGGATAATCCTGGGAAGTGTGTCTGTGAACATGAGCTTGCTCACCTGTGCATTGTCCTGAAGTGCTTTGCCATGACTCGGCTTGTTGTGGTGTACGTCCACCAGAGGGGGCTCTTAGGCAGGCTGGGAACATGTTAAGGAGATGGCCGTGTACTCGCCGGCTGTGAACTCCACACCACATCTGGTGTCTCCAAGAGTCCCGGTGCAGAGCTCAGACACCTCTTCCAGCCCCAGCGGCCTGGTCCTATTATTTCCGTGCCCACTTCCTTCTGACACCAGAGCCGTTTTAGACACTTGTCCTCCTAGTGCACCCGGCAGCGCACCAGCATTTTAGAGCCATGTCCTTGCAAACCCAGGTCTGAGACAGAATCTCTACTTGCTTTTGTTTAAAAATTATAAAGTATATGCTGTATAGTGTGATTTCCTATTAGTCATTTTGGTGCTAAATGGTTAAACTGTGTGTATAACCGGGAGTTGTGTATAGTGCTTCACTCAGAAAAAGAGTTTTTTTGTCAGCCTGCGGACTGAAAAGTCCCGGGTTCGATTCCTGTCAAGGGCATGTACCTTGGTTGCGGGCACATCCCCCGTAGGGGGTGTGCAAGAGGCAGCTGATCAATGTTTCTCTCACATCGATGTTTCTAACTCTCTATCCCTCTCTTTTCCTCTCTGTAAAAAAATTAATAAAATATATTTTTTTTTAAAAAAAAAAAAAAAGAAGAAGAAGAAGAAAGAAAAAGAACTTTTTGCCAAATCAGGGCCAGTTGTGTCATCGGTGTTTGTGGGGCTCGGCAGCAGGAGGCGCCCCGCCCCATGCTGTGCAGAGACAGCCCTTCGAGCTCAGCAGAGGGCCTCTGCCATCCTGAGACCAGGGCCTGTGTTTTATAGGATGGGCACTCTGCTGAACTTGTTTTTTTCTGTGAGCACCGTGAGCTGGTGCCTCTGGTCCTGTCTGCATGTGTAATATGTGTCCTTGGAGAAAGTGATACATGGATTAGCTATCTGGTGAGTTAACGGGCCATTTGGGACGAACCAATCAAAGTGTCTTGAGGTGGCCACCCGGCCCCAAGAGGCCAGCAGTCCGTGTGCAGCTTCACCAGTGTGGTTGGCTCCGGGCCTTCCCGAGGGCCTGAGAACCCTAGAAAATGGTTTCTGGGGACCCCGGAAGATGATTTCAGCCTGACAGCGTCACACCACACAGTCCTGTTGGGTGCGGGGCTGGCACACCGGGGATCTCCTCAGAGAGCTGCTTCCCCAGCTTGCCGGCAGGTCTGCCCGCGCTGGCAGAAGGCTGGGCTGTCATTAACTCTGGATAAAACACACATTTCCACTGGCCTTAGACTGCTGAGACCAGGTTTCCCAGCAGCTGTGGGGACGGTGCGATGCCACACACTCATGGCCTCGTTCCAGTGGCGTCGTAGGTTGAGATCGTTCATAATATGTTCACGATCCTTTGCTCAAATGATGGCTCTTCTCGGGATACAGAATTAATAGAACATTCTAATAGGTTTGCTTATTAAAACAGAGTAAATATACCCGTTAAATATACCAGGAGGGTATGTGTCAGTGATGTCTCGGATGAGTCTGCAAGCGGCACCGTGGATCATGCTTAAGAACCTGAGCAAAGCCTCCACTGTGTGTCGCACCGTCAATGGGTCTGGGGCTCCGCTGTTGTTTCTGGGTCGGCAGTCGGTCTGTTGGAAACTGGAGGGGAGAGCCTGAAGGTGTTGACATTGATGCGAGCTGGTTCCTGGTCGAGGCTGCGCTGTGTTGGGAGCTCTGTCTTTAATCAGAATTTTTAACTTCCTGGCCATCTGGGGTGCTTTACTTGGTGGTGTCCCTGCAGGTCCTGCAGCCCATTGTCCTACTGGGCCCTCAGAATGGCTCCTGATCCCCTCAGCGCAGGTGTGTGGGGTGGGAGGGAGGGAGCGCACAGGACCCTGTGTGAGGCGGGAGCACCTGGGGATCCTCCCTGGCTCAGGGCTCCGTTGAAATCACGCCAAGGCAGGCTCAGTGCAGAGGGCACACACTTTTCTGTCGAGGGTTAACTTGGGACAGAGAAAACAGGTATTGGTGCAGACTTGCTGAGCCCATGACAGTGTCCTACTTGTCACCAGAGAGCAGAGCACTGTCTAGACTCTGCGCTTGTCACTCCTGTCTTCCAGTTAAAGAACTGGGAGACCTCGCAGGTCATTCCCAAGGTCAAGCAGGTGAATCCTATCCCAGTGGCTTTTTGTTACTCTGCGGGGTGGGGAGTGTCTGGCCTTCAGGCTATATAAGGTTCCACAGAAATCACTTGGTCTGGCCCTGCCAAGGCATTAGGGATGAGTTAAATGTTCAACCAAATATAGCAGACTAATTTTTAAGTTGATAATTTTTTATGGGCCAATGAATGATGCTATAAACATCCGGATGGCCCTTGGCAAAAAAGGGTTCCTACCCCTGCATTACTGGAATCAGCCAGTTCCGTCAGCCTCACCCAGCAAGTCCATAAATGGTCCAACCTGGGCCTCTTGGAAAAAAACGGGCACAGGTTCCACTGACTGCGCCGTCTGGACACCAGTCCGTCACCGGGCTAGACGTGGAATCCCTGTCAGAGTCATGTACCCAGGAGTGACCCCGAGGCTGCGTCCCCCTTCCTCTTGAGCCTCGCCACGTTCCTCAGCCCTGGTGTTGGAACCAGCTTACCACAGCCCAGCGTGGGAGCGTAAAGTAGCATGTGGCCCCAGGGTGTGCTGACAGTGCCTGCTAGGTGACGCCTTCCCCGGAGGAACGCATGCAGTTCTTTGGCGAGCTGATCTGTAAGCTGGCTCCCGGTCCTTTGGCAGGTGGACGACATCCTAGGAGAAGGCAGCGATGACAGCGACAGCGAGAAGAAGAAGCCGGAGGAGCAGGAGGAGGAGCAGGATGGGGCATCTCAGCCCAGGGAGCCCAAGGCCCCAGCAGCCCAGAGGGGGCACATACTCCAGTCGAAGTCACCCAGCGAGAAGAGTGCACCGGAGACCCGGGGGCCCAGGTGAGGGTGAGCCCCAGGGAGGGCGGTGAGAGTGAGGGTGGGCCCCGGGGAGGGCGGTGAGGGTGAGGGTGGGCCCCGGGGAGGGCGGTGAGAGTGAGGGTGGGCCCCGGGGAGGGCGGTGAGGGTGAGGGTGGGCCCCGGGGAGGGCGGTGAGGGTGAGGGTGGGCCCCGGGGAGGGCGGTGAGGGTGAGGGTGGGCCCCGGGGAGGTCGGTGAGGGTGAGGGTGGGCCCCGGGGAGGGCGGTGAGGGTGAGGGTGAGGGTGGGCCCCGGGGAGGGCGGTGAGAGTGAGGGTGGGCCCCGGGGAGGGCGGTGAGGGTGAGGGTGGGCCCCGGGGAGGGCGGTGAGGGTGAGGGTGGGCCCCGGGGAGGGCGGTGAGGGTGAGGGTGGGCCCCGGGGAGGGCGGTGAGGGTGAGGGTGGGCCCCGGGGCGGGCGGTGAGGGTGAGGGTGGGCCCCGGGGAGGGCGGTGAGAGTGAGGGTGGGCCCCGGGGAGGGCGGTGAGAGTGAGGGTGGGCCCCGGGGAGGGTGGTGAGAGTGAGGGTGGATGAGAAGGAGGGCTGCCCAGGGAGTGGGCTCGGCAGGAGCAGGGCCCAGGCCCCCACACTGTCCCCGGGAGTGGTGGCCCCTCTGCTCAGACATGATGCTCACTCCACAGCCACAGGCAGGTCCCCCACGCTCACAGGCCAGGTGTTGGATCGTCGTCACCCACAGCAGTCGGGGGCAAGGGACCCGAAGGTGCTGTGTGCTCCTGAGAGGGCCAGGGCCACTCTCTTTCTGAAACAACTCACATACAGCTTCTTTAGACGCGGACATTTTCTGAGAATTACATCGTGATGATGTGGTTTTTATCCAGACTTTGTGATTTCGGTTGTTGCTCGGGCAGCTTTCTGTCCTTCAGGAGGGGCCATGTGTATCCCACATGCTGCTCCGTTTACAAGTGTGATCCAGGCAGCCCGCCCCTCAGTCCTGGTTTCGCCTGGAGGGCGCCTGGTCTCGTATGTCAACTGCAGGAGCCTCCCCCTCGCCCTGGCAGGAGCACCTTGCTGTGCAGGTAGCAGGCCTGGGCCGATGGCATGGTTGACACGTGACGCTTCCTGATTTTCATGGCGCCCTCACCATCCCACGAGCTCACCCAGAACTGAATTTGACTCTGCGGGCCTTTTATTGGCCGAGTCCCTTCATACCCTTCAGATCTGATCCCTAAGCTGTTGTGTGCCCGGGTGAGTGACAGCCACGGCTGGGCAGGAATTCCACCCATAAGTGGGGACAGATTGTCCCTGTTCCAGCTTCAGGAGTTTCTCAGACACACACACACACACACACACACACACACACACACACACACACCCCTCCCTGAGATGGCCACTCAGCTGAGCGGCTCTGAGGCCGAGCTGCCAGCTAACGTGTTAAGTCTGTGCTGGGAGATGACGAGCCACACACAGTTCACTGCTCGCTGCGTCATTTCTGCGAGCATCCCCTGCGTTTCTGGGGGAGGGACATGAGGACGGGGCCTTGCCAAGTGGTGTCCTAACCTGAGATGTTATCCATCTGTGACATGTGCCCTCGTTGGGATTTTTTAACCTGGCACTGTCTTCTCTCTCAGAAAGAGAGAAACATTGTTTCCTCAAAGACCCCGAGAGACCTGGCCGCCCTGTGCAGGTTCTGTCCTTTGGCGCGGAGGTGGACACAGGCGCTCCAGCTGGGCCAAGTGCCGCTGAGCTGAACACTGTGTTTTATTTGAAATTCAGTAAAAAGTGCCGTTGGGATTTTTGCTGTTTACGTGTGGATTGTTTCGTGACGACTTCCCTATGCAAAAGCACGGCCCGAGCTGATGCCACCCGTGCGGTTGGCTGTACATCGTGCCAGTCCCTCGGGCCAAGCTGTTCTGAGGAATCTGAATGCCACTGAACTAGACAGTGTGTTTTCTCGGAAGTAGAAAGGGGTGTGTTTTTGCTTCTCTGCCAAGAACTATTCTCCTTCAGATCAGCAGCCACCTCATGCCTGTTCTGTGCACACGGCAGCCGGGCTCCGGCTCCCGGAGGCCAGGCCCTGAGATAAGTCGGTGCATTGGGAAAGCATTTGCCCAAACCAGAGCTTTCCCAGCGGGCGCTGCGCTTGCCTTTGCCTGGAGGCATGGCTTCAGAGAGACCTGAAAGTCACGTAAGACTTCCTTCAGGTTCTTTGTAGAGTCGGTGGCCGAATGAAGACAGGTCAGAAGGGTGGAAAGGAGCAGTTTCCTTCATGCCCTGTTGACAGTGGTCTCAGCCGTTTCCCTCGCCAAAGACTGTTCTCCGACAGTGTCAGGAATGTCAGTCTTGGCGCTGTGGCCGTCCCATCTGGTCAGTAGTAAACCAGGGAAACAGTCCCACTCTCGGCCTGAATTCCTGGCACGCATCCGGCCACCCACCTGTGCTCGAGCATCGACCCCATGTGTCCATGTGGACGTGGGTGTGGAAGGCGTTTCTAATGGCGGTGGATTGACCTGGAAGGTTCGCTTTAATGCACTGGGGGTTTGTCATCTCTAAAATGGAGGAAACGCAGAACTTCCCTGGGGACTGTCAGTTCCTCACTCGCTTCCCCCCTGGACCCATGGTTACGCACCGTCGTGCCTGCTCCTGCCCGCCCTGTTGTCTTCGGCGGACTCGTGGCATTCATCACATCTGTGTACACAGCTGCAGCGTGTCCAGTCTCTTCTGCCACAAGCAGTGCTGTGGCCCCTGCCCCTTGTGCTTGCTTGTATTGCCAGTCAAAAGGTGTTTGCACTTTTAACCTGCAACTGCTGACGGTTGTCCTCTGTGAAAGGTGGTGCCAATTCAGACTCCCTTAGCACAAGTGACAGTGCTCATTTTCCACACCTGCCTCAGCACACGACAGATCAAAAGTGGTGTCATTGTTTTTCTGCCTTTATCTTTCTAAGGGCTGTGCCCATGCCCGAGGCTGAGCCCAGAGAGCCCACACTTTGAGACAGCGACTTCACCAAAACAGCCCAGCCAGTCACTGAACAGCAACAGTAACAAGCCTGGAGGGAGAGGAGGCCAGGACCCAGTGCTGCTACAACATGGGAACTAAAATGTCCACTTTCTAGAAAAACATTGCATAGAGACAGCAGAGTCTGACCCACATAGGAAGACAGCCGCAGGCAAGCAGGTGTCAGAGGTCAGAGTAGCCAGTATAGATGGAATGAATTATTGACAAGGCCTCATCTAGCAGAGGCTATCAGACAGGAACGCTGCAGCTGAAAAGTGTAATACCTGAATGGAAATCCACCAGAGGGCCCCAGAGTTGATTTGAACTTGCAGAAGAATTAGCAGACTTGGAGATGGACTGATAGAGATCACATGATCAAAAGGCACAGACGCAGGTGTGGGCACATGGAATCGACCACGATCCAAAATCCACAGACGCAGACACACTGCCCAGTGCCACCTCGGGAGCAGAGCCTGCCAATCAGATTCAGGTGGTCCTTCCTCTGCCCCAGACGTGGCCTCCCAGAGACGGGAGACAGACCACATGGCCACGCATCACACTATCGAGTGACCTCATGGGTCCGTGTCTTCGCCTGCAGGTCGGCGGGCCAGGACCTGGAACGAGATCTGTGGTGGGGACAGATGCCTGGGTTCCTCGTCCACCCAGGGCATGTTCTTTTCTCTGCAGGTGCAGAGCCCTCGGCAAAAGCCTCTGACTTTGCTGATAGTGTTTCTTCTGTTTTGTAAATAAATTACACGTTTTTCCTAACATCAGCAGTTGTGGTATCAGATGGTGGGTCTGCTGCAATTTGTGTGTTCGCTTGCCACTCATATGTGTGCTGTATATACTGTGTTTCCCCGAAAATAATAAATCCTCCGAAAATAAGACCTAGTGCATGGAAAGATAAGACATCCCCTGAAAATAAGACCTAGCTCAACTTTGGGAGAAAAAAATAATATAAGACACTGTCTTATTTTCAGGGAAACAGGGTAGTTATGTGTGATTTAAACATGTTACATTGTTGTGTTACACGTATGCTGTTCTTGCACACATGCTGTGTTTGCCTAGCTCTGTACAGGGCCTTTCACAGGTAATCACCACCCGAGCAGTCTCTCCCGGAGATCTTTCAGGCCTGTGACACGAGCCTCAGTGCAAGGTCCCGTGTGGGGGTAAAGGCAGGACAAGGTGGGCTCCTCGGGTACCGTTTTCAAGCTGTGGCCGAGGGTCCGTCTGGGCGCAGAGGGAGAGCCGTGAGCTGTTCATGGGCTGGCGGGGTCTCACCGCATCCTCTCTTCAAGTCTGCAGGTTCGTCAGGGAACTGAGTGGTCTGCAGGGCCATAGCAAGGGGGATAGCACCCTTGCCAGTGTTGCTCAGTGGTTGGTGAGTGTGGGAGGCAACCAATCTCTCCCTCCCGCCCTCCCTCCCTTCTCTCTAAAAACCAATGGAAAAAAACATCCTCAGGTGAAGATTAGCAAAAAAGTAACAATTTTTAAAGGAAGGGTGATGGCATCAGCCGGTTATGTAATGTGCCGGTGTGGTTGCAGTTTATTGTTTATCCAAGTAATTGTGACAGCTGCCTGAGGAAACAGTGGGCTGCCAGGGCGCCTCCTGGGATGAGCCTGTCTCCGAGGCTGCAAGACTCGCCCATCTTCCCTGGGGCCTGCCCATGTGTGGTGGCTCTGATTATCACCATCCGGAGCCCTGTGGGGAGCGCTCTGTCCCGGCTCTTAGAGGAAGGTAGTGCGGGGTCCCATGGCCGTGCACAGCGCCTGCCGTGTGTTAGGAAGAGAGGCAGCAGCCGGACCCGCTCTGTGTGGGTGACTGGAGGCCCCGCTCACGCCTGAGCTCCTGCTGGCCTGTCCTGAGCCCTTTTCCAGCCGGCCTGTTCAACGGCAGCCTCGGGCTTCTCGCTCCCCTGCCGCTTTTCTTTCTGTCCTTTGTCTTCTCCGGGGTTCCAGTGGGCCTTAGTTGTAGTGGTTTCATGACTTCCTGGAGCATCACTGACGCCGGTGTTGTTTCTCCTGTTTGTCCAACCACGTCGCAGTCCTTTGAAATGCGCAGTGAAGGAAGCAGAGGGAGCCTGTGTGTGGTCCTGGGTCGGGCGGCCCTGCCTGTGTCCTCCACCTCAGAACTGTGGTTTGCTCCCATTTTGAGACGGGAAGCCCTTGGCATTTGCAAGCCCCTGGCAGAGAGATCGCCTCACAGGGACAGGTGCTTTGTGGAAACAGCTTATAGCAAGTGCTTCTCTTTCAGGGGCCACAAAAGGAAGCTGAACGACGAGGACGCGGCCAGCGAGTCCAGCAGGGAATCCAGCTGTGAGGACGAGGAGGGGAGCAGCTCGGAGGCAGACGAGATGGCGGCAGCACTGGAGGCGGAGCTCGACCTCATGTGACCTGCACAGCTCCCCAGGGTGGGCGCGCACGTCCTCTCCCTCCTGCGACCCCTCGGCGTCCCGTGCTGGCCCTCACGGGGGGGTTCCTTCTCTCCAGGAACACGTGTCTCTTTCGCAAAGCTCCACATACAGAAACGTTTTGGAGAAATGGGTGTTTTGAGAAGTTTTACTACCGGAAAGTCTACCTTTTTCGTGACCGTGACAGGAAGCGTGGGCCATGCCAAAGATCTTGTGGAGCTCGGACGCGAGGACTGTGGTTCCTGTCGTGTGTAGGGGTCTGGAGGGTGTTTTCCTATAAATTTCGCCTCATACCATTCAGGGAGAAGGCGGGGATCCGACGAGACAGGCGTGGCAGGAACCTGGCGCCCTGTGCTTTTCACACTGGTTACCAGATGTGCAGGGATTTCTGAGAGGCCGTGTTCACATGTGGACAGGCCTGGGAGCCCCTCTGCGACCCTCAGGGCTCGATTCTGAGCGACGCCCGGGTCCCTGGAACCTGTGTCCCCATGTTTCCGGGACCAGGTTCCAACACAGTCCGGCGTCCGCTCCTGCTCCTCAGATCTGATGTAAAGTTTTGTATATTTCATATCTAACCCACCAAACAGGTCTCTCTTCCATTTAATAAAAGTCCTTTTTGTAAGCTCTTCCATCTGGTGTGTTGCAGCAGCAAGCGGGATCTCCTCCGTGGCTCGTGGGGCGCCCACCACCCCTGAGCCTGTCCCTGTCACAGCTTGTAGGGCAGGGGACTCTGCCGGGGGTGCCGAGGGGTCCCAGCCTTGGGAGTTGTTTATCCGCTGGACACGGCTGCGGGTCTTCGTTATGGGGATGTTTTTCAGAAGTGGGCAGTGAGCACTAAGAATTGGAAGATTATTTGGCTTAAGAAACTAGATGTGAGGACCTATGGAAGCAGCCCTCAGTGGAACGGGGTTTGTAGTGCACACGTAGCCGCCAGCTGTGTGGGTCATAGGGTGGCCTGTCCTCAAATCCCATTGCTCCCAGACCTCTGGGCTGACCCGGTCAGCACGACCGAGGTTCTGGGGTGAACACTCACCTCCTTTGAGGCAGCCCCTTGGTGTCCTCGGTGATCCCTTCCAGACGTCTGCTATGGTGAGGGACACCAGAGACCAGGAGTGTGGGCTGTGATGCGCCTGCCTTGCGAGGCGACAAGGCGGTTGCTGGGTGTGACGTCCCAGGAGGTGCATGAGGGCCCGGGAGCAGGCTGCTCTCCCACCTAAGAGCCTGCGAGGCTCCTTCCTAAGCTGCTCAGGCTGTCGGCATTGGTGAGCACCGTGCCCCCAGACACCATGCAGAACTCTCCTCTTAAGTGTGACCGTGGCACTTCCAGACCATCCTCATCCAGAGAATCCCTCCACTCTGAATGAAGATCATTTCCTTTCTCCCCACTTAGGGGGGGACATGGCAGGCCTGGTGGCTCCAGTGCCATTCTTGGAGGCCAAGTCTAGGTCTCAATGTGACAATTTCCAGGCAGCTGGCCTAACCTCAGGGTGTCCTTATCCCTCCTGTTCTGGGCATGTCTCTGGAGAAGCCCCTGTTCCTGAGGGGCTCAGGCAAACCCCAGCAATGCTGCCCGTGCTCCTGGCTCAAATGCAGGCCAAGAGCCAGGAAGAAGCCCGAGCAGGAGAGCAGGTCCCAGCGCTTTGGGGTGGAGCAACCGGTCCTTCTCGGATCATCTTCTGTTTCCAGTTTTGTGACCCATTGATGTGACTGGGTGGAGCTGTTCCACCCCAGGCAGGATACGGTCTGCTGTCCTGCGTCTCGGCCACAGAGACAAACAACCCCAGATATGGCTCCAGACCCTCTGGGACACACCAGCAGAGAGGAGATGGGATAAGCCTCTTTCCCACCTGGTGCACACGCACACACACGTACACGCATGCATGCACACCCAGGGCACAGCTGGGGCTCAGGCTGTCCCTGCAGTATAGAGCATGTGAGCTTCCATGAGAGCCTGGTGAGTTTCAGCAGATGGACGGGAAGCGCTCATCCTCTGGAGCAGACAGAAGCTTAGGCCACTGGAGGGTGGAGGCCGTGGCTCCTGGCACCTTAGACCAGGGACCTTGGGGCCTCAGGGAGCCCCACCCTGGCGATCACCCAGTATACCCCATCAACCCTGCGGAGAGTGCTGTGAGCACCCACCCTGTGGAGGGCCAGATTGAGGTGAGTGGGTGCAACTGCCTCTCCCCTTCTCTGTGGATGGTCTCAGGCCCAGACACGGCAGCCGCCCTGTGAGGACCAGGAGTGCACACATTCACTGAGCACTGAGCCAGGTGCTGGGTCCCTGGAAGGTGCGTCCCACCCGGTGCACTGGGGAGGGAGAGGCCACGGAGGCCGGTCCAGCCCAGCTGCATGTCTTTAGGGTGGAGCGGTCTGCCTGTCTGCCTGTCAGACCTGCCCAGCTGCCTGTCTTTGGGGTGGAGCGGAGCAGAGCAGCAACAGCTGCTGCCCAGTTCACAGCCGTGAGCATCGTTGCTGAGGAGCTGCCTCCCCTCTGGGGGGGGGGGGGGATAGTAAGTGGCTCCTGGTGGCAGCCAGATGTGCAGATGGCCTGAGACCCTGACCCTCCCGCTGACCTAGCTTTCAGGGCTGCCCAGCTGAGTCTGGCCTGTGGAAAGCCAGGGGAAGCAGGGCGCCCAGCAGGTTCCCGGGGGAGGGAGGCACGCAGGCCGGTGGACAGGTAGACGGGCGGCCGCAGGTGAGGCCCCCGCCATTGGCAGGGGCTGACTTGTCACATCTGCTGACCTCTGTGGAGTGAACCCCCACCTGGGCCAGCTTCAGACCGACACAGTGACCTCTCCAGCAAAGAGAACAGCATGCGGACGTGGGAGCTGATGAGCTTTGTTCTTTAATGTGTTTCTGTCACGGTAGGTTTATGAAAGTTGGCCTTTAATGATGGCTGTTGAACAGCTGCCTTGCTCTTTCAACCCAGAAGCCGCCCCCACCTGCACTGCCCCCAGCAATCGCTAGGTGAGCTAACGTTAACATTTGTGCGATGCTTGCTTGCTCGGCCGGTCCCTTTATAGCCTCTTAAGAGCCTCTGTTCTTTTCATAGAATCCAATAAATGTAGCGCAGGAGAGACAGACTTGGGAGGTTGGGAAGCTTCTGGATGGATCCCAGCATCTTGTAAAGGGGATGGAGTGGGGGTGGGGCCTGAGCCCAAGTTTCCAACAGGTTCCGGCAGCAGAGTCCTGTCCACCTCCCTTCATTTGAGGTGAGGGACTCTCAGCCCAGAGAGGCCTCAGAACTCCCCCAAATCCTGTCACTTACTGTTGTCCCACCCTCCTGCCACATGCTCTGTCAACTGGCCTTCACCTCGCTTCTCACTGAGCATTACAGACTCAGCTATGTCAGTACACTCACCTACATCACACAGCTACACACACCCCCGCACACATACACCTGTGTGCACACTTGCACTCTCCTACACACATATTCACCTGGGAACACATGCACCCACACATGTATGCACACACACGCTCACACACAGACACCTATACACACTTACTATGGCCACACGCACCCACACAGCAAATCCCTGTGAAAAGAATTGCCCCAGAATACTCAGCTGTGCAGGGACAACACGAAACCCACGCCCACAGCTCCAAACCAGCAGCATCCGTGTTTCTCTGGGCTGCGTCCTGGGGGCAGCCACTTAGCTAACACGCTGCAGCTGCAGCGTTCAGGCCGGCTGTGGTCAGGCCTGGATCTGTGGGCTGGGGTGGAATCATTTCTCACAGCTCCGCCCCAGACAGTTCCCGAACTGTGGTTTATCAAATTAGCTAACATCCCTGGTTTCAGAACTGAGCAAACAGCCACTGGGTGAACTGGACACAGCACCATACGGCACAGATGAGCCCCTGCAACACAACACAGCACCACAACACAGCTCCACCCGGCACAGTGAGCCGCTGCAAGGCTCATTTGCAGAGGAAGCCATGCTGCAGGGCTGATGGTCCAGCAACATCCAACTGACGGTCCAGGCTCAGGACCCGCCCCTGTGAGTCTCCTCGGTGGGTGCCCCCCAGGGCAGTCCCCGTGTGTCCAAAAGGCCACGGCTCCTGACACCTGCCTTTTCTGGGCTCAGCAGTGGCTCCTTTGTCATGCAGGTCCCCACAGAGGTGAGATTTGTTCAGCCCATGGGGAGGATGCGGGGACGGCCCTGCCCTTCGGTGGGGAGATGCGAACAGAACTGGTCACCTGCAATCTCACTTGCAGCAATTTTAGCTAAAGGTGTTTCATCCTGGAGGGAAATGCTTTGGGGTCTCTGGGAGCATACAGGAAGCCCCCCAAGTTCTGTCTCACTCGGGGAGTGGGCCCAGGGGCACATGTGCTGTGGTGATGACCGTCACAGCGCCAGGAAGCTTTCAGGTCTCATCCCGGTTGTATCTGAACAGAGCGCAGGGCACAGATTCGCACGAGGGACTCTCTGCCCTCAGTCAGTGTTACATAACAACACTGGCTTCTGCGAGACCTGCTGTCACTCTCCAACCAGCAGGCGGTTGCATTTCCTTCTAAAATCTAAACCTTCAGTTTTATAACTTGGCCAGAGTCCAGTTTAACAAACAAGGAAAAATTTAAAGCTAGCAGCATTTGCTACTTTTTTTTTTTTTTCCTCAGTAGCAACTGTGTGTCTAATTGCTCTGCCGTCCCAGTGTCCCGCGAGTGTGTCTGAGGGAAGTGGGGGCCATCAGCCACCCCGCTGACCTGCTTAAAAAGCTGTGGGTGTCTCTCTATTCCCGGTTCCGGTAACTCTGTTTTCGTGGGTGTGGAGACAGGGAGTTTTCCAGTCAATCCACAGCAGCTTTAGGAAAACAGCGAGAGGGACATCATTCAAATGCGGGCCTCTGCCAGGTCGCATTTGCTCCGGGAACTGCGTACTCACCAGGGGAGGGGCGGTGGACGTCCCCGCTGCTGCAGGCCCCGGGGGGGCAGGGGCTGAGGAGGTGTGGGGGAAGAGGGAGCAGTATTTTAGCCCTGTCTG